GAGAAGACAAGGTCACTTTCAGGGAGCTGGCGAGAGTTCGGATTTCAAAGCCAGATGAAGTGCAGTCACAACGTGTACATTTTTCCATTTGATGATCCTCCTCAGGCCAGGATCCAATCAAAAATGATTTAGCTATAGAAACGTTTTCCATCACGCTGTGAAATTGATATCGCAGGAAACTATATTGCAAATAATATGACCCGGTTCTTAGGCTTTTAGAGCCAATGATATTTCCACCAGTCAGAGAATTCTTCAGATTCAATTGTTCAATAATGCAATACATATGTGGTTTAAGCAATTTGTTCAAGTAATCACTGTTTGTGCAGGTTTATATTTGCCATTGTTTTGCAGTGTGCTTGTGGTAATTGCAAAAATAAAGAATTTAATAGGTAGACAATGAACGTGAGCTCTTTAAAAGCTATCTCAAGGGCACAGTGTCCATTTATCTCTATGAAAGTAATTTATCATGTAGGCTTTATTCCAAAAAAGGAGAAAAAAAAAGTTGTATTGTTTGCGTACTGCAACATGTTAATAAAAACTGTAATAAAGTTTGATTATGGATGTGCAGGTCTAGAAGGAATCTGCTGACGTTTTTATGCACTGATTGAGTGGGAAAATCTGCAGAATGGATTTCAACATGGTAGAATATGGTAAACTGACAGGCTAGCTGCAATCATCATTACATTTGCCAAAATGTTTAAAGTTGAAAAGTGTGCATTTTTTTCAGTGTTAAAATACCATTTATAAGTTTAACATCCTTACCAGCCAAACATAGCAACATTGTTTAATAGTGTTAGTTTTGAAGCAGCACTACTAGTTTTTTTAACCAATAGCAGGCAGGGAGTGCGTTTGGGAAACCTGTTTGAAAACAATAGTTTACTCCGTTTTGCACTTCAGCTAATAAACAGCTATGCGTGGGATTTACATTTCGTGAATGACAGGTATTTCAGTTTTGCTGAAATCTGAAAAGCTTTTTACCCTTTTTTATTTAGCTTTTTATTTTGCTGGAATAGATTCCATGTGGATAAGGGAAAACACTTCATAATTCAAATTCCTCATTGATACATCCATGAGATGAGAGTAAATGAGAATACATTATGAGCTGAACCAGTATGAGTCCCATCAAGGCCTTATTTTTCCTTCTCTGCTAACAATTCTTCTCTGAAACTCAACTGTAATTACCTCTCCACGAACAAACCAAAATGTAAAAAAAGACGAGTATGATTAAAGTTTTACGGTATTTTGGCCCCCAATGAGGCATCTAACAGAAGACAGATGTGCAGGGGGCCTAACACTAACCAGCCATCCCAAAGTTTTTTGCCTCTGACTTGTGCTGCTTGTTGTCAACACAGCTTTCGGTGGTCTAATGACAACGGCCAGCCTTCACCTTTTTACACACACTATCTGAAACGCAGGCGATTCTCGTAAACTACTCCCAATAAACATGCGGTTGCTGCTTTATGAGGTCGCAATTGATGCTAAAAACGGACTGGAACTGCAACAATAGAGCTGTTAGGAGGTTGTGATTACGCTTTTTGACAACCAAATGTGTCCTGACACTTAATTTCAACAAACATCTGTGGTAAAGTTGCAGTATGAAAAAGCTCAGCTCACACCTCATCTGATGCAGACTTTTATTGTTTGGTCTGATTTAGACAGTTGTTGGAGATCCCACACTACAGCAAGTAAATACGCTTTGTGTAACTTGCATCCAAAAAAATGCATTACTGCTGTTTTGAAAAACTGTTTTTGAGTCTTACGCCATTTGGTTTGAAGATCAGTTTAGAGCTAAACCCCAAAATGTATCAAAGCTTTTGAAATGGTTGCCACCAATAGCATATTTTTCTCATTCACACCTTCCTTAATCTCACTATTCAATGATCCTTTGTAGGGGAGTGGAGTGTAGAGGGCAGTTTGGACAATTTTGGACTCAGAGCAAAGACTAGTAAGGCTGGCACAGGTTATTAGGGAAGGGTTCAAAGAGGTTCTGTTTAATGCAGTGTCTCTAGGCTGTTTTCACACTTGGTTTGATTGCTTGTTTTGAACCTGAGTTTGATTCCACTCCTCTTGTCCTGCCTCCACTGGTCTCTTTTCATGTTGTATTGGGTTTGAGGTAGTATGTGTAGTATAGGGGTGGCCAACGTCAGTCCTGGAGAGCTGCTCCAACCTTGATAAAAACTCACCTGCCTGTAGCTTTCTAGTAACCCTTTGACCTGGATTAGCTTGTTCAGGTGTGTTTGATTAGGGTTGAGGCTGAACTCTGCTGGACTGTGGCTCTCTGGGACCAACGTTGGGCACCGCTGGTGTAGTAGTAGATCCCCAGAATCTGCCCAAATCATTAATGAGACTACCACTGTGAGCACTATCAGTTAACGACTCAGGACAAGATGATGCCAATGTTTCATTCTCCAAAGGCAATTTATTCTGAGACAAGCTGCACAGAATACTAAAATGCTACTCCTAAAACTTGACTAGGTTATCAACAGAGCATATGGTAGCCAATCCTGCTCCTGGTGGGCTACAGCAGAGTTCAGCTCCAACCCTAAACAAACACACCTGAATGTAATAAAGGTGTTCAGGATTACTTGATGATATAGGGCAGGTGTGATGTAACAGTAAGGTAGACCTCCAGGTGCAGGTTTGGCTACCTTTGCAACAGAGGCTCACAGATTCAATTTAGCATGGATTGGGTTCGTATTGACTGCAAATAATACCAGTTCACATGACTCAAACCAGATTTTTCAAGTAACTATGGGCTGCGATTTGCTAGAGCACACCACTGTTCAGAAGACCATTTGCACACCAACTAATTGAAGCAAGGACCAATGTCAAACAGAAGCCTGCATTAAAATATCTAGTGCAGGAGCGTCCAGTTGTGCTCATGGAGAGCAATTGTCCTGTTAAGAAAAAAATTCCAGATGGGTGTGATGGGGCAAGTTGGAGCTAAAATCTGCGTGGCAATGGCCCTCCAGAAGAAGGATCAGAAACCACTGCTCTAGTGAGAAAGACTTCATATACAGAAAGGAAATTCCAATTTGTGCATACATTCCATTGAGTGGCGAAATCCTACTGGATTTGTCTTTCTGTGTACACAGTGCACCAAAATGTAATTGCATTGAGATATTAAATAAATCTCATTTTGTTCCCATGGCCAGATTCAATTTTGAAGAATTTACAAACATTCCTAATATTCATAACAATACACTCATCATTTCTTAGAAGAATATACAACATGTTGACACAAGTGGCTTAAGAAAATTAGCATTAAAGCCATGTTTGTCTGTAATGTGAGAGAACACATAAAGCAGAAAGCTCCAGTGTTTAGATACATGACTGAATTATAACGAGGGATAAAAGTTGACCGCAGGGCTGGCGCGAGCTTTCAGCAGAACAGCTTGCTGTGGTACGTGCCTGAAACCTCATCCGACACGCATGTGAAACCGTCACTGGCCTATTTACACGGGGTGAACCGCTAAGCTTTGCAGCCTCCAAATCTGACACTTTTATTTTTGCCTTCCCCAGCCCCTCCATCCCCCTGCTTTATTTCCCTCTTTCTCTTGCCCTGCGCAAAACAAATGTTTGTGAAAGAGTGGCGGCACACGGTCTTACCAGAAATAGAGTCAATGGATGGGAGTGTGGTCTGGCACAACATGAAGTGATAGCCATTAAAAACCTCAGAGACTTCATGGCTCAATGGCGGAAGACGGTAGTGTGTGTGAGCGCATAAGGGAGTGTGATCTGTCAGACCTTGACATAGACCCAATTCTGGGTTTTGTCGTTCTGCTTTCTGGGCTCGTGTGGCCCTCAATGTGCCTGTATACAACACGGTTGTTGCTTTGCCAGAGCTGTCGCACCCATCACATTAGCTAAGCTGACTTACATGTTAAACATTGGCAGCGATTCTCAAAACTTTCATCTTGTCACACAAAAAGAACCGTTTGGAGTACACGAGGAGATTGAGGCTACTCCGGCAGGATGGAGCAACTTTGAGGCAAAGAAGTCTGGAGGTATGGGTGGTCCTGTTTAACTTGTCAGGACTCCTTGTGAGGCTTCGACAGACTTTCCTCAAACTCTGCCACCCAGGAAAACAGGCATGAACGCTTATTAAGTGATTTGTTTGATAAACAAATTGATTAGTCCGGATGGGTGAGCCTACAGCTGGTTGATATTTGCTCTCACTCTCTCTGGGAACGTCTTTCCTGTGTCTTGAGTACTTTCAGAGGTAACTATCAGCCATGATGCTCTGCTTGGCAGTGGCTGTGTGTGCATTATACAGCAATTTTCTAAGGGGTCAACTGAAATTTCGGTAGATAACTTAAAGGATGATTTGTTGAAATGACTAAAATTGGATTTGGGCGCCTATAGGCCACTTTTGGCACTGAACGCATCATGTGGGTATGATTACCTCAGCGGAACAATTTCTGTTTAAGACTGTCTGTTTGACATCAGGTGACATTGTACTCTCTGACTACATTATATTCTTGTTTGAAAACACCATTTTGCGTTTTAGTAAACACGTCAAACTCAAATAATTTGTGCACTGATTGTACCGTGAGGCCCTCAAACGATACTAAGGTCTAACAACATACCGTTGAGTACATTTTCCACTTCAATAGCAACTCTAACCATTTTATCTTTGGCCATTGTGTATAAATTCACTTGTACTATGACATGTTTGTTGCCACAGGAGGCAAAAGGAGCTTAGAGCGCATTCATATCTTGGCTCCGCTTTCAAAATGTTTTGACGTGTTTGGAGACCATACAAAAGAGAGATTTCTGTACATGAGTGGTTAAAAACCAGCAGCCAGAGAGATCTGAACCCCAGCTGCTGTGGTTCTTGCTTCCAAGGAGATCTCTCACTTTAGTTTTCACCATGAGCTCTTGAACGCACACACATGCATACTCGTCTTTATGAATTCACCAGATTCTCTTCTCTCTGTTAAAGTCATCAATGTGTTGGACTGCAAATGAACCAAACCACTTCTTTTGTCCTTCCACAGGAGACTCTCGGGCAACCACCTGAGACACATCCCTGGCCCCGTGCTCCAAGGCCTCTACAACCTCAAAGTCCTGTAAGTAACGAAAGACAGAAAGAGCGAGAGTGCTTTTGTTTCAGTTAATGCTTCTGTGGAAAATAACATTCAGGGTGATTCATTCTGAAAAAAAGACTTTTGTTGCAGTGTCACACACTGCGAAATTAGAAACGGATCTTCTGACAGGTGATGATTCAGGTTTTGCTTTGCGGTGAATGGTCACTGAGCTGTTCTTTATGTGTTTGTTGATGGTTTATTGACAGATTTTAATTTTATTGACTGACTTAAACCCAGTTGATGGAATTGAATAGGACAGACAAAGACCAGGCATGGAACAACTTCATTCACGCCAACATGCATCTCAAAATTTCCACATAGGATTAAGTGCACCTTTCCATTCCGTCCTGGAAGCTACAGTAAATTTGCCCTGTATTGTCATTCAACAATACAGTGACATTGTTTGTTTTTTTTGCACACCACAAAATTGCCCTGCCACATCAAATAATTTACTGACCCATAAAGTGAAAAAAAAAACAATCTTATTCATATCTTCATTATGTGCCCATACATTTTCAGTAACTGTACCTGTGTTGTTAAAAATGCTTGCTTTACCTGTTTCTAGATTTACATTTTAGTAGGTTAATGAGAACATTAATTTAATTTAGTTCAGTTTAATATTTAATATCCTTTCCCTTGTATAGAAAACAACATAATTGTAATCGTCAGATATCTTATTTCAGTGGTCAATGTCGACAAAAAGGGATTGGGTTGGGTATAACAATAGTTACAAATTTTCTTTGTTTGCTTTCTGTGCCCTGTTGTGTTTTGTACTATCTTATTCAACAACCGAACTTGTCTGAGGCACAAGTACCTGACCTCCTGACATTTAAACTAATGTTCAGTTTTCAATGAGCCAGACGGAATCACATTTAAATATGGAATCACATAAACCAAAACAACATGAAAAACATAATGAAAATATAACATCAAAAGCATCTGTTAGTGAAAATATGACAAAACTGAAAGTGCGGTGGGGGCATGTACTTTGTGGCATTTGAATGACAAAATAATAGAGGCTTGCTCACAACTTCATAAAGACTTCTGGATATTTTATGTCTAGATTCACAATGGCTATGGTGGCACCATGATTTCCTTGATAAGGGCATTCTGCCCACAAAGGCGTATTTATTCCTTCAAACACTAGCAATTCTCTGCTGCGTGGTCAAATGTCAGGAGTTTCATTTGATTGGACATGATAAAGCTGTCTGCCTTGTAATTAAAGCTCAACGTCTGTGGCCGCGTGCTCTTGCGTTGGAATAATTCGCTTTGTTCAAAGAGCTCAGTGTCATTGTTCTACCACTTCCTGTTTCTTTCGTTCTTTTATTCGACGAGTCCTGTGAGCATGACCTCAGTGGCCCACCCAAGCAGTTTCTCCCCCTCATTCTGTTTCCTCTTGTTCAGTCTCTCTGCCCCTCCCATGTTCTGGTTTTGTCCACTGAAAAGTGCACCACACAGTACCTGAAATCATATCTCCTGACTGATTGATGTCAGCGACAGGTAACCTCATCAGCAGTAAGCTGGACAACTCTTGTGCCCTGAAGCCATACTGACATGCTCTATTTAAAAAAAAGGCCTTTTTAGTCTGTTTTTTGACAAGTGTTAATGCTCAACTATACCACCCAGGAAACACATATGGAACTGACTAGTGGTGACTTTTTTTATACATTCCGTTAATACAAAGAGAAGGCCAGCCATTGCCACTACTAGTATTATCTGTATTTTTTTTTTATTTTTTTTTTTACAATCGCATTTAGTGTTTTCAAATATTTAATATTCACCAGAGCAGAATTGATTACCTTTCTAATTTTAATTTATGGTATCTTTGCAGGATGTTGCAGAATAACCAGTTAGAGAGATTGCCCAGTGAAGACCCTTGGGAATTACCCAATTTGCTCTCTCTGTAAGTATCACATAGATCAAATGATCAAAAGCAAACTTGGGCTGTTAAAGATTTACATGAAACAATGGTGTATATTAAAGCAACAATGGATAGGCTGACATGCCAAGCGCAGACCACCTGGTTGTGACCACAGCTTCAAGCTTAACAGCTGGAATAAAATGGATACACTTGATTCAAAGATTAGTCTCATGTGAAATGTTATTCTGCTTAGAATATGTTCCCATTGTACAATGAAATAAATCTAAATGGAAGTGGAACTGTTTGTCCAGGAACTTTTACATTATCAGGAATTGTGTATCAAATATTACATCATAAGCACAGCACACAATAAATGATTTAGCACCCCTCTATCAGATAAGGTCTCTAGCAGTAGTTATTTGGTCTACAGTGCAATCTAGTCATGAGGTAACTCTTGGCATTTCTCTCTAATAGAGTTGATGCAGGAAAGCCCAGTTATGTATATGCCTATTAGGACCATTAGGCCCTTCATTAAAGAACTCCCCACCAGGGAGGATCAAGTTTGCAATTTAGGACACACATGGTAGTGGTAAAACAGGTGTTCTTTGCCTGTATAATAGTGAGACAAGTAGAATTTTTTTCAGCAAATTTTCTTCTTTTTTTTTGGATTCTCGATCACAAAAAAATGTCATGCAGCTCTTTGCAGAGGAGATCCAACAAATAAAGAACCAATAACAAGTAACAAAATGCATAGTAGTTCTTGTGTGGTCTGTGCAATTCAGGACTTAAAATGAATACAGTTTTGAAAATGAATTCAGTGGATCTGGATTTGTACTTTTTCCCTAAGAGCTATTAGCTAAATGCTAACTCACAAGAGAGACAAATATGATATTCTTCTTGAGGAAGACAAAACGTGATTACGTCACATTTAATATCAGAACGGTGAAAAAGAGGGCTGTTGGCGCATCTGGAACCCATGAGGAAACCGCCAGACACTGTGCACTGGCTCCTGAGTGAGCGCTGGGAGATTCAATGAGCTGTGAAGAGCCCAATTTTCCATCAGTTACTCTTCCCTCTTCCCTTATGTCCAAAGTTTCCCTCCTAATCGGAATCACGCCCCCTTCCTAACTGGTTCCCCATGAAAAGGTCAGAATCTAAATATTGTCTGGTATTTTGTCTGGCCTTGTCCATCTGCTCCACTTACATCCACCCCTCGACTCCTTTCAATTATTCCCCATGCCAGTCAGCATCCTGGAGCGGAGCCGCACACCCACTTTTTCCAAATGAATAATTCCATGTAAATATCCATGCGCTCATTTCCTTCTACCTTTGCGAGGATGTTTTCATTAGAGTCATGGCATACAAATTTAATTCCTTTGCCACCAACAGAGTTTTTTTCCGCATGGAAGATGTGCCTGGTTCCAGAAGAGGCTCCAGACGTGCATAGACTGTGTCCAGGCCCTCCCTGTAGTGAGGCAGAGACTCTGGCATTCGTCCAGACAACTTATGCTCACTTTCAATCCCCCATAACAAAGAATATGCAGTGATTTAGCTAGGTGCTCTATCCTGAGTTCCCACAAGAGTATAAAGGCATTTAGTTCTCAACAAACATGTAATTTAGGGTAATGATAAGATGGGGATCGGTTAACCACTGGGGGGGGCTATAAGGTTTGAAGTCCACTGGCGCCCGATGTAGACAGAGGGAAGATGAGTTGGGGCAGGACAGAGAATTGGTGATGAAACTCATCTTTGTTTCTTTACTAGAGTTTAGGACTGTAGGCTATACTTGCTACACTCAGCACAGAGCATCCTTTGATGTCAAGACCATCCATCCAGGATTTAATCTATGAAAGAAAGATCTGATAAAAATCCAGTAAAAGCTGAGCAACACCTTCCTTAAATCAGAGGCAACGCAATACCTTTTGATGATATGATGCCTACCAATAAGATTCCACACAAAAGGGACCACGTAAGCAATGTTTACACATTCAATTTCAAGTCTTTAGCCTAACAAGCCAGATGATTGAGGCGTCGTCAGCAAGATGTTGGTGTTTACCTAGCAGGGTTGCACAGCATGGAAAATGCAGTCTGAGAATACGGGGCATTTTTCAAGCCAAATGGCATTGTACTTTGGGTTCAAGTTCTTCTTCGATTGATGCTCGTCGTGCATTACCCTCAGCTGAAGGACTCGAGGGTTGAGAAGGCCAGAGGGGAGGTGAGGAGAGGCCAGTGTAAAATGAATGTGTGTTAAAGGTCAAGGGGGAAAAATGCAGAGGAAGTGCTTGCGGCTAACTCCACATGCTCTGCTGCTATCATACATCACGACTCGCTGATCGCTGAGGTTCAACACACCCCCCATCCACTGAATCCAGGGGGCAACATTCATTAGATCAAAGTCTTAACTTGTTGACATAGGGAGGACATTCGTCTTGGTTGTGGAGATGTCAAGGTCTGTGAACAACAGCCTTGCAAAGAAATGTGAAAGAATCCAAACGTCGGCACTTTCAATTATTTCCAGCAACCTCTGATGTTTTTTTTTTTTTTCACAGCTTTTATCTTTAGCTCAGTTTCTTTGTTTAATTTTCAAAAATCAGTGGAGAAAAACAAGTATATTTTATGAAGGGTGGGTAATGCACAGTATCTAGTTAACACAGGTTCAGAAACTTCCGTCAGTAATTCATCTACATGGAAAGAATATACTACCTGTCCTGTAATTGCTCATTTTCACTAATATCTCCTGCTAATTTGACTCCTGGTGACCTGGTTAAACATAACTGACTGTATTATCTGATAATTTTCTGCTACATACATAAACTGTATACGGGAATAATCATCTGCTTCTGTTCATTCTAATAAAATCAGGCGTCTGGATGCCAACCTGATTATGGAGGTGCCAGCAAGGACTCTCTCGGGTATGCGGTCCCTGCGGCACTTGTGGCTTGATGACAATGCCCTGACAGAGATCCCAGTAAGCGCCCTCAATGACCTCTTTTCGCTCCAGGCTATGACCCTTGCCCTAAACCGCATCACCCACATCCCAGACTATGCCTTCAGGAACCTTTCCAACCTGGTTGTGCTGTACGTATCTACTTCCACACAACATGAATAAACCAAGTAGGATGTATTCCTGGATCAACTTGTTTAATAGCTAACCTCAACAAATATCTAGTCCCTTCAATCAGATGAGAAATGTAGGAATGTTCTTAAAGGGATATGTCACCCAAAACTGAAAATTCTGTCATAAATTACTCACCCTCATGTCGTTCCAAGCCCGTAAGTCCTTCGTTCTTCGTAACAGAAATTAAGATATTTTTGATGAAATCCAAGAGCTTTCTGATCCTGACTGCAACACAACTGACACATTCAAGGCCCAGAAAGGTAGTAAGGACATCGTTAGTGGTTCAACCACAATTTTATGAAGCTACGAGAATACTTTTTGTGCGCAAAGAAAACAAAATTAACAACTTTTGTTGTTCAACAATTTCTTCTTTTCCGTGTCAGTCTCCACCGCACGTTCACAAGAGTACAATGACACATGCAACATGAGGGTGAGTAATTAATGACTGAATTTTCAGTTTTGGGTGAACTAACCCTTTAAAGCCCCTAACCCCAATCTTAAATGTTTTACCCTAACCCTTGATCTATTTGACTAAATCACACTAACTATAGTGCTTGTGTCAGTATGAGGAAGGGAAACCATGAAATAAGAGGAAGTTGGAACACATGTCTTGGTTTGACAGGACACCACAAGAATCTTAAACTCTTTCAATTACAAAGCAGTGAAATGATAGTGTGGATTAATTTTATATCTCATCCACCACCGGTTTACATTCATTTGAAGCAATGTACACAGCCAAGCAGGTGTCATTCCTGGGGTATGTTTTGATGTTTACTATAATCCTAATGAATGTTTTCATGTTTAGGCATCTTCATAACAACATGATCCGGACCCTCGGACAGAACTGCTTTGAGGGACTGCACAGCCTCGAGACCCTGTAAGTAAGACCGTCCCCTCATGAAAGATTAAAAACATGAAAGCATTTCCTGTTTTTAATGCAAACAAACCCTGATCTGTTATTTGATTTTGGCATCCTCTTGCAATAATTATGGAAGGGGCTGCGTCTATAAATATAAATCAGAATTACTAGCAAACTCGCCTGACTCTACTTATGCTCAGTGGTTCAGCTTTGTATGAACTACAAACAAATCATTCTTTACACAATACTTCTGCTGTTGAGATACGCACATGTTAATTGCAGTACCTTGTTTTCTTAAAAACACTCTTACCTCTCATTAAAATGAAAGAATGAATGTATGGCAGTCTTTCATTTTCTGTGATAGAAACAACAATAATGTCCTGACAATGACTTCAGTGTTGGGTGATTTCTTTAGTGTTCCATACAAAAGTATACAGTGATTTTTAGGGGAACTTTGTGGTTTTAGCTGATTTTGGTATCACAGGCTACCAATTTTTAAATTTTTTTATATGCTTCCATTTGTCCTTTTGCGTCATATATTTAGCATAGGGTCATAAAAGTGAGTGGGAAATGTAATGGGACAAATTTTATTGTCTGAATACTTATGTGTGGTTATGCATTCTATCACTACACTTTTTTTTGGCGCAATGTCAATAGCATGACCCATGTTAGAGGTTGTTGAATTTATATTATATATTTTATATAATTTTACTTTAACTTGAATGCAATTTACCTGACAGTCTGCATGTAAAACATGATGAAATTAATAATAATATGAATATGGACAAATTAACATACTAGTAAAAATACAGAACATCATGATTTCATGACTACTGGCTACAATTTTCATATCATAGCTGAACAATAGTGCACATTCTCTGCTGGAATTCAGGCTATATATGGTAATCTATACATTACTGAACATGGTAGATTGAGATCAAATGTTAAATAGGTCCAATAAATACACTAGAAATGCTATTAAAATGCATGAGAAATTTTGAAAGGGGCTTACGAACCAGAGCCAATGCATATTTGTAATGTAATGTATGAAAGACATTACATAGACCATGCTATGAAAGTTTGGCTTTAAAAGAATAAGCATATGCTGAAGTCACGGTGGTCTCCAGGATACCGAGAGGTTCACACCTGCTTTTTAACAGCCTGCTGAAGTGCTAAAGATGATGTTTTCCTCTTTACGAGAAGGATTTCAGTCTTGAGAATTGCACACACTGAACTGAAACACTTCATTTGAAAGCAATCACTGAGAAACCGTGCGCTGAAACTCTCCCATGGCGATTCTGTCGCTCGATAAATTTGGCTTTTGGAAGATTTGTTTCAAGGAGAAAATATTTAAGTTCTTGAAAATGACAAAAATGATACAAGGCTAGAGTGATAGGAAAATTAGTTATGAAATATATATATATTTGGGCTGAGGAGGGTACCTTATGAATAAAAGAATTTGAAAAACATTTCTATTGGGGATAAAGTTTAGGAGTCATTTGTACATTACACTCTTTTGTACAACAAGAAACAAGAATAAGTCACCTGTATCAAGTATGTATGCATTACAATTAAAATCCCACACTATTAAAAAAGCTCCCAGAAACTGTAATATGTAGTCATGTTGCATATCGAATAACATTTTAATGACCGTTATAATGATGGCTAAGCAAGGAACTAATCTTCCTGAGGCAAATATTCTTATATGTAACATGACACACTGGAAGAAATCATGCCAGCTGTCTCAGTTCAGTTGCACATGTGTGTTTGGGAAGTGTTGAGCTTCTTGAAACAACAGATGGAAACATGTTTGCCTTCTTTAGGAGGTCTCAGACATCTTTTCGTGGGACAATGTGCATCTTTTTATTGATGCTACTGTAATCCCCATCACTGTAATTATCTCTGAAAACGCATTCACAACCATCAGACAAAGTGGCCACCACAGTGTTGTTTTGTTATGATGCCTGATGATTTAGCTTTCAAACAAACTTCTGCGTGGTTTGACGAATTGTAAATCGAGGTAACTGACAGCTCCCATTCTAAACAATGAGGTCTTCCCAGGAAATGAAAGGCATTCCTCTTCTCTGCTATATCAAAGTAATGTCTCCAAACAAGACTGACGGATGTTCTAAACAAAACCAGGATGTAGACATGGCAGAACCACGCGGCACGGCTCGCCCACAGCAGCGTGTTCCCAGTCTCCCCATATGCAGCCCATTTTATAGGCCGCAAGAGCAAGTGGATTTCCATGCGGTGTTTGAAGAAAATTACTTAAACACTTGCATGACTCACTAGAAGTGAGCGAACTAATGAATAAAAAGATGTTGATTCACATTCATATAATCTAAATGGCTCATGTTGTTTAAAAGTGCTACTTTTAAAAAAATAATTCTTTATTGGCATTGATGGTTCCATGAAAAACCTTCACCATCCATGGAACCTTTCCATTCCGTTTTTTTATAGTGGAAAAATGGTTCTTTGAATTATTAAAGTGTTCTTCACACTATGAAACATTGGTTCTTTTAAAGAAAGGTTCTTTGGGGAACTAAAAATGGTTCTTCTATAGCATCGCTGTGAAAACCCCCTATTGGAATCTTTATTTTTAGCATTTACAAGTAAGCCATTCATAGGTTGACGCCTCTGTGGTGCATCCCATCCCGCCCGCCAACAATGGTTCAACCAATGCATAAGTTTGGGGCGTAGCTATCTTTGTGTTTGAAAATGTGTTATTTTTGCAATTTGGTTGGTGATGCTAATGGTGCAGAAATACTTCAGCTTTAAGCGAATTTGTCATATATCAAGAATCTCCTGAAATATTTTTTTTCTTTTCACCTCAAACTTAGGCCAAGTTTGCTTTAACACTCTTGTGCAACACAGACACACTCACGCACACATAGACACACACATGTACACCCACACACTGGAATTAAGCAAGTGCTTCGCCCATTCTGGATGGCGGCCAACGCGGGTCCACCCCTATTTCACCAAGCTTACTTCAAACGCACTGGCTACCTGCCAGAAACGTTTTTTTTCCCTTTTCAAAAAAAAAACTAAAATATATAAACATTTGGACTGTTTTGAAAGTGTACACTTAACACTAAAGGATAAGACATATAATTATGGGTATGACGAGACACATTGAGCATTGTAACTGTGGGGAGCTGACGATATGACTAAGACCTGGGCCTTCACGAGGGGATACAGGGCCAAAGGCACCTATTAATGCCGCCCAGTTGCCTTTACTGTGCAAAAAGGAGGGTTTGTGGAAAAAAAAGTCTCCTGTTCAATTATAGGATTTTCCCAATAATTATTCTCTGAAAAGCTCCAAAAGAATCAGAGATGAAAAGGAACGCTGAGATCCAAGGAAAACAACATGTAAACTATGGCCATAAACACATTGTTCTTGCACCTGCGTGTAAAGGCCGCTCGCCCTTAGCAACCGCCCATGTTTTGGTTCAAGCGCGGTTTTTGGACGCAGGTTTCCTAGAAGGCTAATGAAATGCATACAACAAAAATAATGTATGCAGAGGAGAGGTCACGCCATGTCAGATTAGCTTAGAACAGCTGTCTTGGTCTCCAAGGAGCGGCCAACACGGAAAACCCGCAAGGTCACAGGGAGGGATTTTGACTGATTGGAACCACAGTTCTTAAGTGTTTGCTTATGTTACAGACACGTAGGATGAAAGATCAAATAAAAATGTCAAAACAGTTGGGCTAATATGTGACGAGACTGCTAATTGTTGTTCGAAAGGTAGTCTTATGCAAGATGCAACTTAGACATAGCTATGCTTATTAAGTCCTAAACATTTGCACGTAGAAAATCTTTTTCTCTTAGCTTGTGTTTCTCAAAGTTCTTCTGCTCTTATGGTTGGTCTCCTTTCTCTAGGGAATTGAACTTCAATGACCTTCAAGAGTTCCCCGTGGCCATTCGCACACTCGCCAAGCTTCAGGAACTGTAAGTAACCGAGACTAACTTACCCGGCATACATGCGTCAGTGTGCTTCCTTTAAAGTGGACCGCTTGGCCTGGCCTCGTGCTCCTTGTAAATCCCACTTAGTCCCTAGAATGTGGTTCTCAAGCACAAGTCTCCTGAAAAAAGCAGATGCTTGGAGATGAGCTCTTAAGTCCTTCCTTCTCAAGTATCCTAAAGTGTTTTTTGCCTGCGGGACTGCCTCCTGACAGGTGTTTCTGTAAGATACAAAGGATGTTTACATGGACAAATGTGAATTGACGCAACCAAATGGCTCACACGTGTGCTTATGGAGGAGTTTGAGATAAAATGCAACTGGACTCGATAGTCCAAGGTGATGAATTCATTTTCGGCACCCAAAAAGGACCTTATAGCCTTGTTTATTTAACACGTGTAATTACTTTAGACTGTTTAGAATTTTCGGATTACAATTTGCTGGCAACGTGTGTGCCGTAAATTAACTTTAGCATGTTATATTCATAGTGACGGCAGATGATGATGAATTATAAGCTGTTGCAGTAGTTGAATGTGCGGCCGCTCCGAATAGCACGTCAGCGCTACAATTTATAGGCTATACGGAACAGATGCAGTTAGCAAAAGTAGGATTTCGCTGGATTTCCTCATCCCATAGTGGATTGTGTTCAAGTGTGCAGATGGTCATATTCTCACTCTCCATGCGTCTTACAGGGGTTTCCACAACAACAACATTAAGGCCATTCCCGAGAGAGCGTTTGTGGGGAACCCACTTCTGCAGACCATGTGAGTATCTTGTCTCAGCAACTTCTCTGAGCTTCTCTGTTGACTAAACATGCCTCACTGTGTGATAGAAAGACATGTTATAAAAGTCTGTTTATCTCAGCCAATGGACCAGGAAATGTGCGACAAATATTTGGGTCGTTTTACAAACGGGTGCCTTTTTTGCCCTCCCTGTAGTACCAAATGTATTGAGTTGTATTCAACAAAATGGACATGGAAGTATGTAAAGGGTGTAATTTTATATATTGAACCATATATTTTTTACATTTACATTTAGTCATTCAGCAGACGCTTTTATTCAAAGCGACTTACAAATGAGGACAATGGAAGAAAACATTTTTTTGCTTTTTTTTAGCAAAAGTTACAATGGTAAAAATGTTGGCATTAAAGATTTTTAAACATAGAAACAGAGATAAAAGCAAACGCAAAATTAGTTTTATTTTGACTATGTTTGTCTATATGATTAGATTTTCATTGACAATGTGTTTAAAATATTTTTAAACCTTTTTTATGTTTTTAAGAGTGTTTCCAGTTCACATGTCAATCCTGTTACCAACATAACTACCTATTATTAAAGTAATGTACTATTCCATAGATTAGAAATAATAATAAAAATAACACCTTTTTCACACTCTACCCCTATTAGAAAATATGTAAAAAAAAATTATTGAAAAAATGGACATAAACGTGTCAAAAGATGTCATTCAATCTACTGAACAGTACTTTAAAAAAAAAATGCGATAGTTATGATAGTAACAGAGTTGGCATAAAATTATTTTAATTAAAAAAAGGAGAGATAAAGGCAAAATTAGCTCTATTTTGTTGTTTAAATATGGTAAAAAAAAAAAAAAAAGTTATCTGGTTATGTCAACCCTGTTACCAATTTATTTGGTTTTACATTTCAGCCCTGTTACCAAGATTTTGAATAGCAAAAAAAAAGTATTTTTTTTTTAGTTAGAAATAGTTTGAAGAAATAACAACATTACACTAAAAAAATCTCAGTAGCTAAATTAATTGTAAAATTGTCATCCCTGTTACTGTACAGTACAACAAATAGTTACATCTCAGCATACAGCATATTAGCTTTTATTAATTTAGATTTAATTTGGATATGGCACTGTGTCATTTATTAACGCTTAAATACAATCTTTCCTGAAAGAATGTAAATATCCTTGTCAAAATGGAACAGGCACTCATTTAGAATGATCTATCCAGTTTCTAACAAAAGATGTCTTTTTCTTCTCTGTTTAGTCATTTCTACGAGAATCCCATTCAGTTTGTTGGCAGATCAGCATTTCAGTTCTTGCCAAAGTTACACACGCTGTAAGTACAAGTCTATGTGTGAAATGATAACACACACATGATTAAACAGAGCAGTTTGGCTTCTGATAAGGCACCACTAAAGTACCAGTTGGCAAATGTGTATAATTTCCATTTCATCATTGCTTTCATTTTGATGAATACTGTAATCTTGCTTGCCTCTTGCCATCACGTCTCTCATAAGTAAACATTGAACTAGTAATTTGTCTCCAAAAAAACAGCACAATTCAATTATAACCTCATAAATGCCAAAATATGAGATTTAGCTTTTCAAAAAACTAATAAAAAGTCATTTATCTCTCTCCAATTGCACAGAGAGTGCATACGAATGCTGTGAGAGTCTATTCAGCCTTCATTATTTTGATATGAAGTCTTCCGTTGTTGATTTTGGGTAGTGTTGCGAGTGTAATCAAAATGATGGAATCAAGTGGAATAATATTGCCTCTAGATGATGGAGTGCTAAGTGTGTACGGTAACAGTAGACATCCCTGTGGTTTTGCTGGACGACATCTTCATTAGCAGAACGATCCTCACTAATGAGTTATCTAATCTCGTTTCAGCTCTTTGAACGGGGCCACTGAGATCCGAGAGTTTCCAGATTTGAAAGGAACCACCAGCCTGCAAGTCCTGTGAGTCTGAGATCAAATGTCCCCATTTCACGCAGGATCAGTTTCACTTAAGAGACTTCCAGAAGTTCTTCCCACCGATGAGGACAAAGGAATAACCGTTGACAAAATAGAGATGCTTTTACTGAACTCTCACCATGTCAGCGAGTTTCGTACAAGGTTAAAAATGATGCAGGGCGAAGGCATACTGAGCCGAGCACTTATGTTTACTGGTGAATGATCGGTTAATATAAAGCCCTGTATATAATTACTGATCCTAAAGGAGTGTTAAACCGTTCATTAGAGTTAAAGGAGAAGGGTTTTGAAATGGGTTTTGGTTGCGCACCAATCTCACGGCATTGTTGAGGGCTGTCTATGGGCTGGTTGGGATGCTCAAACTAAACAAAATTTTAATAATGCCATTGTTTATTAACAATTTTAAGGGAAATCATTACATCTTTGCCTATACAGCTTGGGTAGAAAGCTACATTTACTGCGCCTTGTATTTACCTACAGGTCTGAAACGCACTGAAAATACACTTTTTTAAATCAGTTTTAATAAGATTTGTCTTATTTCCATTAAAAAAAAATGTCTGGACATCCTTAAAACAAGATAAACAATACTCTATTTACATTAGCAAAACTTGTTCTAGGGATAAATCTCAAGTTCTTATTTTTTTTTTCTTATAATCTTTTGCAGTGCATGCACATTCTGTTTCTGTCTCATGTTTGGCACACACACATTCAGTGCAAACTCTTCTCTTTGATTTTCTCTCAGTACGCTGACCCGAGCTGGACTGACCGTCCTGCCATATGATCTCTGCCACCTGCTGCCTAAATTAAGAGTGCTGTGAGTTTCCAGACACAAATATGCTCCTGCAACACACAAACACATTCGAAAGCTCATCTCTAAACGATTCCTATAGATCAGGGCTGGCAAAGGGAGTTCAAATTCACCCTGAGGGATTTGATGTAGCCAAACTTTCAAGGAGTTCCTAAAAGCCTCTTTTAACATGAAGTTCAAAACACATCAGCAGGCAGATATTTAGCCAACTTTACAAAGACAGCAATGTGATCATTTGTATCAGTTGTGCCATGCTTGTGCAAACAATGTAAAAGTTTAAGAATTAAGTAATTTTTTTAGATCAAGCAATTTTTACTTTTTTGCTTTGCTTTAATCACTCTGTTTAAGATGGATAAGAGCAACCACTTAAATGTGGGCAAGTTCAGTTAGAGAAACCCCTGCAGGAAGAGTGAAGCTTTATGTAACTGTTCAAATGAAGAATTAGACCTCTGGGGAACGTAGCTGCTTAACATGACATTCTCTCTATATATATTCGCTTATTCTCTCTCCAAGGTTTCTTCTTGGATAAACACTTCAATACATTAATTAGGTCAAAATAAAGACAAAAACAAATACTAAAAGTAATGTAACTAGTATGGCAAATTATAATGTAATTCTATAAATAACATTAGGAAATGTTTACATGTTTGTTCAAAAACAGTATAAGGGAGAGATGGTGCATGTGTAGAAAAATGGGAAAATTGTAACCCTCATGTGAGATCGTGCTAATTTGAACTAAAGAAGCAAAATCATACCATTATTGCCAGATTTTGTACATTTCTCTATACAAACAGTTTGGTCATTTTACATTCAAGTAGATAGCTCTATGAGAAATGACTTGCCTCAATTGGGACTTAATGGGAAATGCTTAGCATTATCATTGAGGCTTATTGTGCAAGTCTGTCATTTCTGTATTACAAGTGTCCGAACTGCTAATATAATGATTGTTATATGAAAAAAAAAATGTTTACACTTTTTAAACTGGCACAGAACAATTATTCTAAGGGGGTGTTTACACACAAAAAAAAATAAAAAATTCAAATAAAAAATGTTGGCCATTCATTTACACAATAACGTTGTTTACACGTTTTTTGAAAACGCTGTTGTTATTGTCTCCATGTAAACTACAAAAACATGAATTTGTGAAAACTGTGACTTGATGTGCATGTGTATTACGTGTTCAGTCTATAGGTATGTATGCAGACACAAAGTGTTTCTTTAACCCTTGTGCGGTCTTCGGTCACTTTTGACCGAAGAATTTTATATTTTGAATATTTAAAAATCGTAGCTTCATCGGAATGGTACGAAACTTGGTGACCTTTATGGCACTTGGTATGTGAACACACAAAATAATTGAGGGCATGATTCGAAAAAGCTAAGTGCTCGTAAAAAAAAATAGTCACACTCATGGTCTTCGGTCAAAAATGACCGACCATAGGAAATGAATGGGAAATGGCAAATACAGAACGTTTTTGTGTGTACAATCTACAAATCCCCCACGATGCAGAAAAAAATTGCACCGCAATGAAGGGGTGAAACTTTCACGCACACTCACTTACACACACTCACAGACACACACACATACAGAATTATACACACTCAAATGAATTGGTATGGCTATAACCATATAGCCAAAATGAGTCAGAAGACCCAGAAGGATTAAGCTCTGATAAAGCGTTCCTGTTAATTTTTGTTAAATTTTTATAGAATTTTAATGTTTTGTATAACAAAATGCTTTCTGTATTCAGGTTTGACTGTAGCAATAATAATTCAAAAACTGACGCTTCAAATCAACATTTAAAACAACAAAAAAAATATAAACCTTGACAAAAAGTAGTCTTTGAGAATGCCTTAATATACATTTAAATCCACAACCTAATCAAAGTAAACAATTGTGTATAAAAACAACTAGGGAATTCAAAAGCCTCTAGTGGTTACACCATGAAATTACATGTTTTTATTTCTTTGCTCTCACCAGGAGGTGCTAATCTGCCTTAAAAATATATATTTTAAAGGCCTAGTCTCTATTTTAATCAGAGATACTGCATTAATTGAAAAATTATTTTTAAAAAATTAGAGAAAACATTTTTTGTACTATTGTCAATGGGAAAATTTGATAATAATTATTGCATAAATATTAATTATTACAATAAAATTCTCTCAAAATACAAAATAAAAAATATTATTGAACAAAAATATATTAGATTGATTTTACTGAAGAAAAAAAAAAGTTACATTTCAGGTACATTTCACTTTTGACCGCGAAGACCATGAGTGTGACTCCCAAATGAGGAGGGTTAAACAAAGTGATATTGCCAACTACTGGCCTAGGCCTGGCATGCATAACATAGCATTTTAGCTGTTTTGGCCGATCCGTGTAAACGGAGATGGTTTTTGACAACATTGTCATCTGTACGTGAAAAATTTCTAAAACCGTACCGTTTTGAATACATCATTGTCGTGTAAATGTACCCTTACATCAAAATTAATTATACACTTTGTGTATTTCCATATAAATTCATGCTTTTTAAGATAAAGATGTCTTACACAAAAGTTTTACGCATCCTTTACTGACAGCACTCTTCAGTTATGAGGAATCTTCCATTTACAGACAGTCTATATGTGTTTGATTTCAGGGAGCTGTCGCACAATGTCATCGAAGAGCTGCCGAGTTTCTACCACTGTGCCTCTATTCAGGAGATGTGAGTTCAGGCGTCTCTCTCTCTCTCTAGTGAAACGGGAATAAAGTAATATCACTAACATATCTGTGATAACTCTAAGAGCCCTAAATAACCCACATAGTACTTGATAAATGACAGTCATTACTGTAGCAATCCATCAGTGTCCATATTTGGGAAGCTTTCAAGTGTGTTCATGATGTCTGCCATAGTGTGTGTGTGATGCAGTAATACCAGTTCTTTTGTTTTGACTCGGCAGAGGCCTGCAGCACAATCTGATCAAACAGATTGAGATGAACACATTCCAACAGCTCAGCTCTCTGCGTTCACTGTGAGTACTGTACACATGCTCAGCTGGCCGTAAGCGCCTCTATTTGGCATTTTTCTAATGTAATACACATTTCAATACAAATTATATTAGCAGAACAATTTGAGTGAATTTCATTGTCAAAACCCCCTTTTCAAACTGCATGATTGACTTGAAAAATAAAGTTCACATAATCAATTACTGACTTTGATTACTGACCTAAAAATAATTAAATGTATCTTAAATATTTATGATTTTTTTTTTTACTTTCAGCATTAAACTTTCAAAACATAATTTTTTTATTTTTTTATTTTCAAAGTTATCCCTTCTGTATATAATTTTGTGGAATATTGATATTGTGGCAAGAGCATGCATGTTTTTAATTGAAGCATAGAAATAATAATAATAAAACAAAAGTATTGGCTCACCAATACTTCCCCCTAGAGGCCAAGACATTCTACACAAATTAACCATAAACATCTCCTACAACCAAAACCAAAAGGCAGAAAATCACATGCTACAACTTTAAATAATGATTATTGTTAAAAGAATTTGAGAGCAAGACTGTTTTCAGATATCAGATATTGAGAATAATAAAATATTAAAATTGGCTGTCAAGATCTGAGCAAAAACATTTCTGTTTTTCTGAGAAAATGAGAAATGACAGATGTACGGCTGAGTAAATGATTTCTCATTACAGGGATCTAAGCTGGAACAGGATCAACACCATCCACCCTGATGCCTTTTCCTCTCTTCAGTCACTTATTAAACTGTAAGTATAATTTATGCAAATCAGTGGCAATGCATATCATCGGATTTAGCACTGAAGATAAAGATTGCACACCTCAGAGTCTAGATGTCTGTGTCAAAGTCGTTAGTCGTACAAAAACTGTTATTAAACTGTGACTTGGCACAACCATCCCATTTACACAAACAAAGAGATTCCATGATGCACACTTTGGAGTCATCTGTGCAATGCTCTGTTTGGCTCAAAGTGAAAAGACTGTGGTTGTAATCAAGGTTAAAAGCTCTACACAGCGGTGAAGACGTGCATCGTCAGTCACAGGCGATTAAATGCAAGCAGCATTAGGTAAAGAATGTGATGAATGAATGAGGAAGACTGATATAGAGTGACAGAGTGTGGCTGATAAATGTGCGCAGCGTTGAATGATTAGAGAGTAGATACTGCAACAGTTATAAACCTCTAGTTTTCCTTGCGCAAATTCACTAGCAAACAACATGCATGGAAAAGTCAAATCACTGGTAGAGAAGTCAAAACCAGCAGTGTTTGTTTACAGTTCTGGGCTCAATACAAGTACAGCTCCATCGACAGCATCTATGATATGCTGTTGATTACCACAGAAAATAATTTTGACTCATCCCTCAGTTGTAAAAACAAGCAAACATAATTGTCTGCGGTAATAAACAGCATGCCACAGATGCTGTCGATAGAGCTTAACTTGTATTGAACCTGGAACATGCAGCGTTTTATTTAAACTGACACATTCTAGCTTTCATCGGGGTTAAAAGTTCAAGACCCGTGTGCCAAAACATGTCGGTTTAAATAAAACTTTCTCCAATCAAGACATGCTGTTGGATTTACACTCCGTTAAGTATTTGTAAAGTGTCCACAAAAGGTTGTTGGACCTAAAATGATTTGGAATTGAATTCCAAAATATTAGCAAAATATTAAATCAAGTTGCATTTATTTTATATTTCAAAAAGTGGAATGGAAATATATTGGATATATTGGCAGATGTCAGTGTAAAACATTTATATTTAATGTGATGAACTGCATATGTGGTTCCTCTGGTAAGACACCTGTGTAAACTTGAGGAGAACTGACTTCACACATTCACTAAAATCATTGACACACCAGCTGATTACAAGTAACTACAAAAATATGATGGTTCAATGTGATGTCTGATGGGGTAACTAATTTCACTTTTATAAATGCTAGAACCTCATGATTCTACTACCATGATTTCCAACCGAAGATCCCCGAAACACAATGTTGGCAAATGTTTAAACTATTTATGTGATGGTACATTATGGGACATTTTAAGTAGATACTTCAAGTGTAGCTCCATCTGCAAGTTTTTAACACATGCTGATCTTCTATCTCCATCCAGAGATCTCACTGGAAACCGATTGAGCAGTCTCCCGCTCACTGGGCTAACAAGTCTCACTCATCTTAAACTGAAAGGAAACATGGCACTCTCGCGTTCCTTCAGAGAGGAGGACTTACCCAACATAAGGTACATTTGTGGTAACCAATAACCCCAAAAAGTCAATCAACTCCGCCATCCCACACAACAGATTAAAACACTTTCATGTTAAACCATCAAAGAAAATTCACAAGTGTATGTGGTTATTAATTCCCACAACACAAATGCCTTGAATAGCTCAAAAACACATGAAGGTTTTGCTTTGTTTTTAGAGAAACGTTCAACTGTTTATAGAATTGACAGTTTCAAGATAATGTTGCTCAAGGAACATTCTGTTCATTGGTACGAATAAACGGTTTCTGTTTGTTAAGTTTCCTAGTATATCTGGCTCAAAGTAAGTCATCTGACAAGCGGAAAGATTATTTCAAGATACCTCAATAGAGAGGCTGTTATAAATACCTGGTCCCGATTCATCAACTGCTCAGGGCTTTGGAGACACTCCAAAACTTCAGTCTTAAGTACTTGCGTGATTTGATTAGCACCTCAAAAATGGGAGATTTCAAGTATTACCATTTCCCAAAAGCAACTGATTAAGCAAAAGCAAATGAAAGAGAATCACGGTTTCAACTGTGACCCAAATACATATAAAATAGTCCTTGCGGTTATACGTATTGCTAGTTTACTTCATGCGTCATTTGCAGATTGATGAATCGTTCTTTCTCTGATTTCTTCCTCTGAAATGGGATCTTTTATAGTTTTCATATTTCCTCAAACTGATGCAATATGCACTTATTTTTAATGTCCAAACTCCATTTGGCACAACTGAAGAAACAATTTATATAAACAAAATGTTATACATGGTGTCACTATTGTTGAAACAGGGTCATTGAGATGCCATATGCCTATCAGTGCTGTGTTTTTGGAGCCTGCAACAGCTACAAAGCAGCCAGCCAGTGGGAAGAACAGATGGGCAGTGAAGAGGAAGATCTCCAGAAGAAAGCTTTGTCCCTGTTCCCCATTCATACCGACAACAACTGTAAGTCCTACAACCTCACTAGGCCATCCTACAGATCTGGAAACATTATACAGTTCTGTAACTGTGAAAAAAGTTGCTGTTCCATTTTACATATTACAATTGCTTTTAACTTACCAAAGTAATAGCATGGTATTCTTTGGAGTACTGCTACCTGCCAAACGTTTGGTTATCTGCACATTATTTATTATTACTTTCTTCCACACTGTATTATATTGCCAGAAATTAAGGGTCCCCAACTAAGCAAGCCAAAGGCAACAGTGGCAAGGAACCAAAACTTCATCGGTAACAGAAATAGGGAGAAACCAGGCTCAGTTGGAGGCTAGTTCTTCTCTTGCCTCCCGAGTACCCCACACAGTACAGGCTCTGAGCACCCCCAACAGTACATATTTTGCATGTTTCGCTCATCTGGCACAACCATTTCAGGGTTGAAGTCTCTACTAACTAGCTGATGAGTTCAATCAGTTGTGTTTAATACAAAACGTGCAGAGTTCGGGCGGTACTCCAGGACCTGCTTTTGGGGAACCAAAAGCACTGGCTCGCACTGGCCCGACAGTGGAAAAGCGGTTAATGATCTAAACCAGGGGTGTCCAGTCCTACTCCTGGCAGGCCACTCTCCTTTAGAGTTTAGCTCCAAGCCCAAACACCTGAACCAGCTAATCATGGTCTTACTAGGCATACTAGAAACTTCCAGGCAGGTTTGGAGCTAAACTCTGCAGGACACCGGCCCTCCAGGACTGAGTTTGGACACCCCTGGTCTAAACACTGGACTGATGGAGTGCCTTGGAGTACCATGTAAATAAGGGCTTCTCAGCCCTGACCCTCGAGGACCACTTTCCTACAGAGTTTAGCTCCAACCTTGACCTTGCCTGTAATTTTCTTGTTATCCTAAAGATCTCAGGAGTGTTCGACTTGAACAGGCACTGCACAGAATGATCAGTGTTTGACAGTCAAAGCAAGAGCTATGATTTCAGTTTGATTAGGGTTGAAGCAAAACTCTGCAGGAAATTGGATCTTGAGGGCCAGAGTTTGAGAATCCCTGATTTAAATACTATTGCACTGAACAGAACAGGTAGACTTCTTGAGATGGTCTTTCCACCATGTGAACAGACATGCAAACAGCTAGAAGAAACCAGTAGGTTAGGTTTAAATTATCGGGGCAAGTTTCCAAACTGCAATACTGTATTGTAGCAAGTCACTCAAGTTTGTACAGTAAACCTTTTATCAGAGTCCCTGTAGCCAAAAATGAAAACACTGGCCCTACACAAACACGTTCCTCAAATGAAAGGAACATAAAAGCACCACTTGTAGCAGTTTTCCACAGAGTGTGTGTGTGTGTGTGTCTATTTTTATCTGCTCTGTTCTATCTGCCAGTCTCTTCATCTTTAATTAGCACAGTAGAAACATGTCAGGGCCTTACAGTAACCGCAGGTATTTGACAGATTAAATAAAATGTGTCTTTTCTCCATGCATTCCTTGATGCGATCTGATCAGATTTCAGACTTGAAAGGAGCTCTCCGTAATTACACTCCATGGGAAATTAGATAAACATTAACAATTCAAGGTCCAAAACATACCATTTGGGTTATCGGAAAATAACAAAACCAGAACGCGAATAAAGCCTGATGATTGATTGCAAGCTGAAGGAGAAATGGAAAGTTGCAACTGAGATGTGTACGGTGTTGAGTGTCGCTAAAGCCCTTAGATAAATTAATCCGTTCCAGCAGACTAGATGTCCATAACATGGTGATTTATCTTCTGCCAGACTGAGTGCATCATGCCATCTTGAAGAAGACTGAAGACTCTTTCATCATACTGCTGTACATGCACAAACCAAAGGTGCCTCATGCTTTTCATGTGTTCACTTGCAGATGACCTTGACTTAGAAGAATTCCAGTTAGCTATTGAAGAGTCCAAACTACAAACCAGCATACAGTGTACCCCCATCCCAGGTAAATTCATCCAGCAGAAGATCTGAACTCAAGCTTATACGTATGCCATCAAGACTATAAAGGCCTGTTCACATCAAGTACAAACAAACTAATCAACAAGCATGCTAAAGAAAGACATATTTGCAAATAGTTTTTTACACCAAAACTATGCATGCTTCTCCAAATCCACACCGACACTTAAGCCTAGCGTTATTTGATTACGCTCTGATAAAACTTCAAGTGTTGCAGTTTCCATAAAAAAATTAAAATAAAATTAACAAAGAAAGAAAACTGGTTTCAACTATGACCTAATACTTATACAACAGTTCTTCTGGTTAGATTTTTTGATGGGTCACTGTTCTTTTTGCATTTTAATAGGACTTACTAAAGTGAAATTTTATGTATTGAAAAACACACAAGAGAACAAAATATTTTATGGCAAGGAAAATGTGGCCTATACTCTTTCTCAGATTTAATATTCTTTGTCCTGGTTTCACAGACAGGTTTTAGGTTAAGCCAGGATTAGGCAATATTTCAATTAGGACATTTAAGTAGTTTTTATTAACATGCCTTAGAAAAAACAACACTGGTGTGCATCTTGAGACAAAACAAACATTCTTTTTTGAATTATATTAAAATATATATTCATAAATAAGCAATAAAACAAATGACAGACTCTTGCAGTACAAGTTTTCTGACGTGGTGCAAAGATGCTGATAAAGATGCGTTAGGTCTCAAGAAACCAGTACAACAATTTGATGTGTACTTCATTCGTAAAAATTCAAACTTTGTTAAAACTATTTAAAAAAAATTTATAATAACATTTTGTTGTGCGTATGATCCATACGGAAATTCAGTCTTGGTGTGAATAGGCTTCAAGGTGATGTGTTCTTTCTGCTTAAATTCTAATTTATCATTTCACCCCTTCAGGTCCATTTAAACCATGCGATAACCTGTTTGACAGTTGGGTGGTACGGCTTGGCATGTGGCTCATCTCTTTGGTCTCGCTGATGGGAAACAGCCTTCTCCTCATGACAGTCTTTGCATCCCCCAGCTATCTCTCCCCTGTTAAGTTCATCATCGGCACCATCAGTGGCGCCAACCTGCTTACGGGCCTGTGCACCGGCACCCTGGCACTGGTTGACACCCGGACATTTGGAGAGTTCGCCCTGCACGGCGCTCAATGGGAAAGGGGTGCAGGATGCCAAACAACAGGCTTTCTTTCAGTTCTAGCCTCTGAGGGCTCCATACTCTTCCTGACCTTGGCTGCAGTGCAGTGTAGCGTGTCCGTGTCGTGCGCTCGAGCCTACGGAAAGTCGCCCTCTCTGGGAAGCGTGCGAGCCGCCACAGTGGCGTGCTTGGCACTTTCGTTGGCAGTCGCCGCTTTGCCGCTAATTGGGGTCGGGGAGTACGGTGCAACCCCGCTCTGCATGCCATCACCACTGCCGGACGGCGAACCTTCCACGTTGGGTTACATGGTTGCTCTGATAATGATGAACTCCCTGTGTTTCCTGGTAATCACTGGAACTTACATCAAACTGTACTGGGACCTGATGAAGGGCGACTTCGACAGTATTTGGGATTGCGCCATGATCAAGCACGTAGCCTGGCTCATCTTCACCAACTGCCTGCTCTACTGCCCCGTGGCCTTCCTCACCTTCGCCTCCCTTCTGGGACTCTTTCCTGTGAGCGAGGAGGTTGTCAAATCTGTCGTCCTGGTGCTTCTGCCTCTTCCTGCATGCATCAATCCCTTGCTCTACCTTCTCTTCAATCCGCACTTCCGTGAAGATGCACGTTTGCTTTTGAGCAGAGCTCACCTCCATCATGACCGCAACCTGGATTCCTTCGTCTCTGTTGACACGGAGAAAAGCTCATACGACTCCACTCAAGCCTTGGTGTCCTTTGCCGCTGAAGCAGATGCAGTATTCGAGAGTTCATCAGCACCAAACCCAGAGACAGTCGCCAGGTTTTCTTGCCCACCCTCAGTGCCTCTCATCCCATGCCAGATGCAGATGAACCCCTCAACAGAGAGAGATAATGTCGCAGAGAACCTGGTCAGGTCAACACCAGGACTCATTGTCAAAGAGCAGGAGCACCTTAGGAGCAGTGGACTGGACACTCATAATGGAACCTCCTTCTCTGGAGTCTACCACTCCATGCATCTCTCAACTCATTCTTAAGTCTTCTCCTAAACTCTAAAGTTTTTAAAGACCCTTTGAGCATGAGAAGTCGTGAGCCCACATATGAACTGACCCCTAAAACCTTCAGAGCTAATGAACAATGAACTGTGTTTTGGGACTATATATATAACCACACTGTCCCAACTGCTACATGGCATTCTTAAAGGAAAAAAGGAGAAAAAAAAAATTTGCATTTTGTGGCATAATCTTGTGGGCAATTTAGTAATTTAAGCAACAATCTTAAAATGTTCAAAAACAAATCCGCATTTATTTTTAGTAACTTGTTTTTGTAATTAGGCTTAAAGGAGTGTTCTGGGTTTAATATCACCTCCATGCATGGAATATTGATGATTTTCACCGAAAGTAATTTCTTTTTTGATTCAACCCTCTTTTTAAACAAGCGGGGGGAAAAATCATGCATTATGTACATACAATGGGAGTCAATGAGGTGAAGTACTGCACCTGCATAAAAATTCAAATTCACAATGCGTCTACAATGGTAATGCATAACCAAAAATGAATCCACCTACAGCAGTGGTCGCACATCTCATGAGCACTACAATTCATTGTTTTAAACCTGGAACTAGGGTTGCAAAGGGGTGGAAAATTTCCTGTAAATTTCCGTAAACTTTCCAAAAATCCCTGGAATATTCCCCAAAATCCTGGCAAGTTTCAAAAATGTATGGAATATTTCCGAAATTTACTGGAAATTTTCCACCTTTTTGCAACCCTACCTGGAACATTCCTTTAATTAGGAAATATCACAGGGATGTTTGCTGATGTACAAGGAGTTATGCATCTAAATATTTCAATGTGAAAAAATGTCTCTACATAAAGCTCAATTCTTGTGTACGCAAACTTTTATGCATTCATTTCCAAGTGTGTATATATCAAAGTCTCGTTAATTATTTGCAAGTCATCACTTGCTTACTTGCCCCTAGATAATAATAATAATAATAAAAAATGTATGGGAAGGTAAATACCTATGTATATTGTCAAATAATATTTAGTGTCTTAAAAAACAACAACAACAACAAAAACATCATGCCAACAGGTGCTAAAACATACTACCATAAACATACTCTCTGCAAGTACATAAAAGGCTTGGTAAACGCTCTGCAAGCTGTTCATGCTGTATATATTTAGCAGGCATTGTGACAGTAAAAAACTTGACAGAAGCAAAAATGCACCATAGGAGACATTATGCTAATTCATACCATAATCCAGCTGACAGTAACTCTGAGAATGCAATACATATAAAAAATTAAAACGCACTAAAGCAAATTTAAAACATATTTTTGTAATAATATGTAATGCAACACATTTCAAAATTAAACACTGCATTAAATTCAAGCTTGCATAGCTAAAAGCATTTGCATTCATGTACTTGTATAGCCTATGTTTGAGCTTCACGATGTAAGATTTTTATTTTTTTTGTCAAGTCCACAGGATTAAGGTAGAGCAAAACATGAAATATACTGAACATGTTGACGCTATAAACTGAAGATTAAAAAGAACTATGAGCGATTTGATTAGGTTGTAATAAAGCTTGTTCGGGATCTTTTACAGATTGTAAAGTAGGCTAGCTATTGTATTGTAAAATATAACTACCTCTGATCTAGCATGTTATACCTTTTTATCCTTATTGATTTCTATTCGTTTTATATTAAATGTATATTAAAATGTAATTTTTATATTGAAATTTTAAGATCTTTGTACAACAGACACTATTCTGGATGTAAATATTTTCATATTTCTGTATACATGTGATAAAGAATGATTTAATAAAGTTATTAGTTTCATAAATGTATGTCTTGAAGACTACTGAACAATTCAGGGAGATATGAATGTAAAAATATTCAAAGGTACTTCTACATTTTCATCAACAATAAACATGAAATCCTGTTGCAAAATAAAATGAGATCAATATAATTTAGATGTTGTAAGATTTTCTTGGGTTGCTCTGAAGTGCTTCCAGTGCCTCTCTTGTTTTCATATTTGTATTCTTAAGAAAAATCTTTTCATCTGTGTCCACAACACTCATAAAACACAAGAGAGAAGTGAACAGTGTGTGACGACAGTGTATGAATTGCTGGACTTTACTAGACAGCCATTGCTAAACAGGCAGTCATGAAAAGAACACATCTTACCTTGTTCTTCTTGATTCTATGTGCAGCCGTTCCATTTCTTGGCCTTCTCTCCACTCTATATATTGGTTTGTTGTGTTTAAAATCTGAGGACTGGAAAGTATGTCAGACAATTCATTCATTTTTAAGAGGAATTTAAAGCAATAACAGAACACCTAAAGGGATAGTTCACCCAAAAAAGGAAGGGGATAGGTGTGTACGGCCATTACTGTGGAAACCGTTTTTTCTTCCTCTCTAAAAGCGCCTCCTGCTGGCCTGGCAGAAAATGAATTTGCTTTTTCAATAAACCTGTCTCCAGCAGCATGTTTTTGTTGCTGCTTTCTATTTTCTGCAGCAACTCTGAGCACTTTTCAAATTCTTTATGCTGGCTGAAGCACATTTGTTTCATTTTATAAGAATAATCTGCCTACACCAGCAGTCAAAAGTTTTTCAACAGTAAGATTGTTAATGTTTTTTAAAGAATTCTCTTCTGCTCACCAAGGCTGCATTTATTTGATCAAAAATAGAGAAAAAAAACTGTAATATCGTGAAATAGTATTGCAATTTAAAATAACGGTTTTCTATCTTAATATACTTTAAAATATCATTTATTCCTGTGATGCAAAGCTGAATTTTCAGTAGCATTACTTCAGTCTTCAGTGTCACACACGATCCTTCAGAAATCATTCTAACATGCTAATTCATAATCAATGATGGAAGCAGTTGTGCTGCTTAATATTTTTTTGGAACCTGTGATACTT